TTGTATCCTGCAACTGTTGTCCCCCAGTCATTGTTCTGACCGATTGGAGAGATCGGCTAGATTGCACACACTCTCTGGTCTAACCCTCGGCAGCCACCCCGTTCCTTGTTCCTTGATTACTTAACTCACCATTAACAAGAAACTAACTCTTTCCCACCCGATCCTCTTATTCCATTCCACCCAACATACATACATACAAACCACAGAAAAATTAAACACATCATGTCCCACCACCACGACAACCACTTTGTCCTCAGGACGTTAAACACCCTCGCATTCGGTGCCCAGTTGTATTTCAACTACTTCATCGGAATGAAATCAACTCGCCCTCAAACTCCTCCTCCTCCTACCGACGGAGGTAACGGTGATTCTCTCCTCAGCATGATGGTCAAACAAACCAGCGATGTCTGGTTCATCCCAGCTACCTATGCTTTCAGTATTTGGGGTGTTATCTCTCTTTTCGTTACTGCTTTTATCGTTTATCAATGGATTCCCGGTACTTTTGTTAACTCTGGTACTGGTTACTTTGCGAGGGCTCAGTATTTGATTGTTCATCAGGTTTCTTACTACTTCCGTGAGTATTTCTTTTTATTAAACTACTAAAGGTGGTTCACGCAAATTCTAACAATCCTATTTGTTTCCATAGTCCTCTCGTCCGTCTTCAACATGTCCTGGTTGACAGTCTGGAACAACAATGAACTCAACGGTTCCCTCATCGTTATTATCCTTCTCGCTACCTCTGTTGGGCACATGTACTTCCGTACAAACCCAAAGAACCCCGTTTCGCTTTCAACTTTGGGATACAATGCTACTCACAGTTCGGATGAACAACGTCCTCTTTTGACTACTCCTGCCGCTGCCGTTGAGGAGACCGAATCTTGGTTGACTTACTTGTGCGTTAGAGCACCTTGGGGGCTTTACTTTGGCTGGTTGTTGTGTGGTAAGTAGTCTCTATATTTATTTGGGGGTTTTTTTTCCTTTCGCGTTCTTCTTCTGTTCTGCCCACACTCAACACACTTCAACTTACAAACAACACAGCCGATTCCGTCAACTTTTTCATCGTCTTCCTCCGCATCGACGACGCAACCCCACTCGCAACCCTCCCTTACGCCATCGCCGCCGTCATCGTTGTCTTCCTCGTCGGTTTCCACCTCCTCCTTACCTTCCAAGAACCTTTGGCACCTTTGGTCATCTCATGGGCTCTTTCATCAATCCCTTACAACCGCACCATTAAACATTTCCCTGATGTTCACGACTCGTTCGAAGTTTGTGTTTACATTTGGGTTAGCAGGATTGCTTCTGTGCTTTTGGGTGCTGGTGTTTTGGCTTTCTGGATTGTTAAGGGGAGGGAGGTTCTTCGAAGGAGGAGGGAGAATGTTATTGTTGTTGCCGCTGGTGCTGTTGTTGTTTAAAAAGTTTGATAAACTACCAGTGATTAGTAACGCGACTGGGTAAGGTTTTAGGATATTATTTCTGGTTTTGGTTTGGGTTTTTTCTTGATTCGGCTTCATCTTCTAAGTTTTGTTCTCTTTCTTCCCGTAGTTATATTTGTCCCTTTTGTATTTTCAGTTTTGTTTTGAGTTCAGTATATTCTGTCTTGTTCTTTTGTATATCTCATGTAAAACCAAAACCCTCTTTACTGTTTTTCTTCGACACCTCCCCTACCTTCCATTGGCCTTTTGTTTTTGCCTCGCCCAAATTTCTGTGTAATTATTTGCTTGTTATGTAGAACTTGGCACATGCAGTGAACATTACAAACTAATAAAAGAAAGGTCCTGTTGGAAGGCTCGTTTTCTTCAACTTGGTTATAAGTTCCATGGTACAGTTGGCTGATATGTTTACGACAAATTAACGGCTCGTGAGCCCGGCAAGGTTCGATATTCTGCTGGAGTTGCTGACAGCGCTGTTGTTGACCACCCCTGCATCGCGTCGCTCTCAGTTGGAGAAGGGTGGGAATCGATCCAACAACTCCAAACAAAGCTTTCTGTTGTTGTTCCCTTCCACTTTGATTATTGGTTCGTTTCATACAAAAACTTCGTACGAGCACGTCCAGAACGCGCATTGTTGGTTTAGTGGTATAATTACCGCCTGCCACGCGGTAGTCCCGGGTTCGATTCCCGGACAATGCACACTTCAGGGACATCTGCCAACCTTTCACCTGTGGAACTTAATGTGCTTTTCTTAACCTTATTCCTTTCGCAAGCAGACTTCTCACGGGAACGAACCTTTGGTTCACCGTCATGTAGATTGCTTGTAAACACTTTTTGGAGAAATGTGTGCTTTGATGCTAGCACGAAAAAAAGAGGGTGTTGCCAAAGAAAGTACTATTTTGATTATTTTTAATTCGCTCCTATGATATCGATACAGACAACTGAAAAAACCCGTAGATACACAAACGAAGGGTAATTGCCTACTGGACCCCATCACAGCAAGGTGAAAATGTTACTGTTTGTATTATGCAAACATGAGAGCGCTTGCGGACGTGAGAGAAAAGTCGAATATGGTGCTTCACATCTGAGATATACCAACATGTTGTCATTTCCCTGTTTTGAAAGGGACGCAAATATTTAAATATCAGAATGTCAGCAGATGTTCAAGCTTATTTATTATTTCAGCTTGCTTGCAGCCTTGCTGGGCTTTTCTTGATCTCGAAGTCGGGTGTCAAAGTTGAATAAAAAACTTCATAATTTATGATTACACAACACGCGAGCTTTGCTTGTTTCGTTCCACGTTTTGATTTAAAGTCAAAACAACAGTTGGAGGTTTTGTTTTGTTTGTTTGACCTTTGACTTGGTTGGAGAAATAGGCCCGGACAAATCTGATAAATGCTAATGAAAACGTTTTCTGTTTGGAAATTGGAATTGAATGCCTCCACTTCAAAGTATGGCAAGGGAAAGAAGCACAGGAGCCGCCCCACGAGGGTGCAGTTTCTCAAGAAATCGTATGACAAATCGTTTGTTTGGGATAGCCCGGGGGGCTGCACTCCTTTCCCTGAGTTCCTCGTTGCTGTCATTAGAGCGGAAAACCTGCGGAAAACCCTCAGCTTTTTCTTCTTCCTTCCTTTGTTTTATATCTCTTGTCTTGTATATTGATGGAGTCAAAGTTCAAAATAGAAATTTGACCAAAAAAAGCGGGCAATTGGTTTATCCTTTGTTTTTGACAGGCTTTTTTCTTTTTTTTTGTTCTTTCCTCTTCTTGCTCTTTTTCGAGCTTCCTTTTCACCAAAAAGCCCGGGCGCAATAGCAAACATGGGGGGGCAGAAGAGCAGCCATACACGAATTGGCACATCTGCTGCTTTGGTGAAGACTTGTCAAAAAAGAGGTGATTGAAACTCCGCAAAATGGAAAGAAGACCATCTCAGTGGATTCTGTTCTGTTCGCGCCTACGGAAAAGTAACCAGTCTCTTGCTACATACGTCACTTCT